CAGTCTGCTGACGGGCCCCTGGGCTTGGCCACGGCCCTCACCTGGGTCTGGTCTCCTTTCCTCTCAGCTCCTGTGGTTGAAGGGAACAAGTTGAAAGCTGCACTTAGATGATGAATATAGAAAATGCCATTGAACACTACATTTCCAGTGATGGTGCGCACCTGCAAGCCCCGCACACAGAAGGCTGAAGCAGGAGAAACCCCACAAATTTCAGGCTAACCTGAACTGCAAAGCGAGACTATGTCAAAAAACAAAATCCCCTAGATTTTCACCAGGTAGTCAAATACAGCAGCCACCATGGTATGTACGGTCTCACAAGCAGAGACCAGTAACAAGTAGGCATTCTGAATAATTATCTTAAGGTATTACAAGATCCTGAGTTCTCTCTGAATCATGAAGACAAAAGGGCGATGGGGTGGGGGGAACCCAAGCAGGGCTGCTGGTGTAGCTCAGTGGTACAGACCTTGCCCAGGCCTACAAGGCCCTCGATTCAATCCTCAGTACTACATACATACAAGTCATCTACTAGGGAAGGCATACTTTTATCATTAAATTTCTTTGAACCCAGGCATCATGGAGCACACCTGTAATCCCAGCACTCTAGAGGCTGAGGCAGAAGGATCTCCATAGTTCCAGGCCAGGCTGCAATACATAGCAGAATCTGATCTCAAAAAATAATTTTTTCTTTGAAAATTAGAAAGCCAATGGGACCAGGGAGATGGCTCAGTGGAATAAGCGCTTCCCTGGCAAGCGCAAGGGCCTGAGTTCAATCCCTGGTTCTACCGCAAAAAAAAAAAAAAAAAAGAAAAGAAAGAAAGAAAGAAGAGAGAAAGCCAAATATACCATTTGAAATATTTGATTAATTGGAATCTATCAATCACTCTGGAAAAAATAAAGTATTATATATGTTTTAAAATTCTTAGGTTAGGGGCTGGGGAGATGGCTCAGCAGAATAAGCACTTCTCTGGCAAGCGCAAGGGCCTGAGTTCAATCTCCAGTTCCGAAAAAAAAAAAAAAAAAAATTCTTAGGTTAACAGAATAGGTTTTCCTCCTGATGTCTGACGTCACGGAGCTTATTTGATTTCCAGGAAACATGCGGTCATCCGTAAGTGCTGTCCCGCAATTAAGGCCCTAATGGCCCCTCCCTAGCACATGTGAAAGTCTCAAGAATCAGATGGCCAACACTGACCAAAATAGGTTAGAATAGTGGTAGTCCTAGGCTCTTAGGAATGTATTTATTTATTATTTGTTGAGACAGGGTCTCACTATATACTCTAAGCTGGCCTTGAGCTCATTGCGCAGCCCAGGCTGGCCTTGAACTCAGGGAGATCCTCCTGCCTCAATTCAAGTGTGAAATCACAGGTGTGTACCACCACCCCCGGCTACCAAGGCCAGTTTGCCAGGCCGTGCACAGCGATGCCAACTGGTGCCCAGGTGTGCTGGGTAGCAGCGGCTCATCAGCTGACCAGCACCCACTTCCCCTAGTTTACTGACCCTGGCTCCTCTTCTCCCCAGAATTTGTTTGCGGTCTGGATGCCTCCGATGAGTTTCTGAAGGAGCGGGTGATAAACCTCCCGGAGAGCGTTGTGGCCGGGACCCACTACACCCAGGACCGCTTCCTCCGCGTGCTGAGCAACTACCGCGACATCAACTCCGAAGATGAGACTGTCTACAACTACTTTGATGAAATTGAAATCCACCCCATATACATTGGTACGACACGAACTGGGGCCACAGGAATGCTGAGGCCCAGGACCCCCGTGAGCCCTACGCCTATCTGACTGGGGCTGCAGGGCAAACCAAGGGGGCGAACAGAGCCAAGGACAGAAAGGGACATTCTCCTGGGTGCCACATTACCTGCAACAGGTACCAGGAGGCTACTGCTACTGTATCAAACACAGGGACAGGAGTGCTGGAGACATTGTTCCCCGGAACACTTTCTCCTTAGATAGAGCCCTCTCAAAAATGTTCTGGGGCACTTAGTGACCCCAGCCAGAGCTGTAATTACTCAGAAGAATCCAGGAGAGATACAGGTCAGACAATCAAGAGGTACCTCGAGTGGCTTTTATGTTTTTGCTTTTTGAAACCTCGATTCTCTTTTTTTTGTTTGTTTGCTTTTTGTTTTTTGAGACAAAGTCTCACTATGCAGTTCAGGCTGGCCTTCAACGCACTTTGTAGCCCAGGACTGGGGAAATGGCTCAGGGGAATAAGCGCCTCCCTGGCAAGTGCAAGGGCCTGAGTTCAGTCTCCGGTTCCGGAAAAACAAAAAAACCAAAACTTTGTAGCCTAGGCTGATCTCAAACTCACAGCATTCTTCCTGCCTCAGCCTCCCGAGTGCTGGGATTACAGGCATGCACCACCACACCCAGCACCTTGCTTTTGCTCATAATTAATACATGGCCCTGCTCTTCCCTGTTCTCTGGTAGGGTCTGGCAGGGTCTCTCATCTGCATCAAGGTCTCAGACTGAGAGGAAGGCACATTTGGCTGAGGGCAGGACAAGCAGTGACCTCACAGAAGGTTCTGGATGGGATCAGTGCCCCAGTGTGTCCACTGCACACTGTTCACTTGGGACATGTTCTGGGAAAACCCAAGATAGTATGCAGAATTTACTACTCACTGTCATTATGGGGAAGACTTTTTCCTCCTCTTCCGGCTCTTTCCTTTCTCTTCAGTCGTGATATTGACATTAGTCATGTATTCTGGGGTGTTTGGGTTTACATCTGGCTGTCCCCCTAAAGCCTCATGAGCTCAAAGGTGGGGCTTGTGGAAGATGATGGGCTTGTGGGACGCCACAGCTGGCTTGGTGTTGGGAAGTGAGGCCTGGCTGGAAAATACAGATCACTGGGGATGTGACCAGGAAGGGTTGATCTTTACCCTGCTTCCTGTCAACCATGCTTGGAGCAGCTCCCCTCTGCCAAGCCCCCGCACTGTGCCATCCTGCCTCAGAGCCAGCCAATGGTAGACCTCTCCTTCCTGAAGTTGTGGGTGTTGGGTACTGTGTCTCAGTGCCGAGAAAGTGACTAAGATGCAGAGTTTGGATTTTTCCATATCCAAGAAGAATGAGTGAAATGCTTCGTTTATTATGGGTTGAAAATCTATCCCAGAGTCACTGATTTTCAAAACAAAGGTTAGAATTTTCAGGTGCTTCTTCCTGGCTTCTAACATGTACAAAACTTCCTTCTGTGGAAACCTCTGGAAGAAGGGTCCTAGCCTTTGCTTGACCATGTTCAGGAGTCACTGTGAAGTAGTCTGGGCTACTCAGCTCTCTGTTACCAGGACAGGAGACCTGAGTTGACCAAGTACAAAAAGGTCTTAGAGTCCTTCCCTCACCTGTGGAAGGACCTGGGGTCAATCCCCAGCCCCTCAAGGAATGAGCAATACAGGCTTTATTCTGTCTTACAGTTTCTGAGGGTTCAGTCCATGCTGTGTGGCATTTGCTTTGGGCCTGCGATGAGGGAACACACGTGTCAGATCCTGACCACTCACCTCACAGCCAGGAAGTAAATGAAGAGGCTGGGGTCACAATGCCGCTGACTGAGGGACCTCCCCCAGGGCTGGTCCTCTCAAAGCTACACTGCCTTCTGCTGCACCAAGCTGGGACCAAGCCTGAACACACGGGCCTTTGGGGACATTCGTGATCCAGTAGTTCTCCCTGCCATTTACTCACTTCACCGTGCTTGTTAGGGTTAACAGACCCAAACACACTCCTCCTACAAGTGACTTTCAGACTTGTGTAATATTTGGTCCCGAGAAAAGAAATTGAAGCATACGGCTGACCAGAAAAGGAAACTTTAGTGTGGCAACTGGCATCAATTGCTATCACAAAATTACACTAATACAACATTTTCCCAGTGGCTGGCAGGGCTGGTGTCTAAGTATGTGTCATTCTCCTTTCTCTTGGGATTTACAGATGTGGGGAAACTCGAAGATGCCCAGAACAGACTTGCCATCAAACAACTCATCAGAGAGATTGGGGAGCCTCGGAATTACGGGCTCACGGATGAGGAGAAGGCAGAGCTGGAGCAGAAGGCTGCAGAGGAGCGCCTGGCCAAGGAGGCTGCTGAGGACGCAGCACGCCAGCAGGAGGAGGCCATGGAGACCGCGGAGAGGCTGGCTCGCTGGGAGCAGTGGGTGAGTGCAGAGTGGAGGGGCTGACAAGACCCCCAGGCCAGCTCCCCGCAGCCTGCTGGAGAGGGAGGAGAAGTTTGCTTGCTTGTTTGTTTGGATGGATGGATAGTTGTTTGGTTTATTTGTCATGTGTAGCTTTTTTTTTTTTTTTAACAACAACAACAAAGAAAAAATCCACAGACTATGTTTAGCATTAATAAAAAAAGTTAACAAAACAATGACCACCCATGAATGGCGTTAACACACATCATGTGAACACATAGCATTCTCTGCATCTTGACTTACGATTTTATCCAGTTTTTCTCCACTTACACATCGCACCTCTGCACACCCTGCCTTCCCTGTTTCCTGGGTCACAGTGTCCCCAGGTCACTAAGCAGTTCTGCTCCGCAGAGGAGCACCCAGTTGCACCCACAGGTCTCCACTTCCCCGGATCAGGGTGAGTGTTCCTTACCAGAATTGAGCAGTGTTGCAGGGTGTGGTGGCACGCACTGTAATCCCAGCACTTGGGAGGCTGAGGCAGGAGGATCGATTTGAGTATGAGACTAGCCTTGGCTATATAGTGAGTTTAAGGCCAGCCTGGACTATGTAGTGAGGCTCTGCCTCAAAAAAACTGGAAACAAATAAAAAGAATTACGTGACACCCTCCTGCTGCACTCGCCAGCTCTGCCCCTATCCATGTCCAGTGCATGTCCACTCTGCCAGCAGGGTCCACCAGAGCCACTCAAGAAGGCAGGTCCACCAGACCCACTCTCTGTTTAAAACTGCTTCCATGCTGTGCAGCACCATTGGAGAAAAGCTCACCTTCCGAACTGCAGCTCGCAAGCTGGGTGTCCTGGCTGATGCTTTTATTTTATTTACTTTATGTTGTTTTTTATACAGGGTCCCGCTACGCAGTTCAGACTAGTGATCCTCCTGTCTTAGCCTCCCCAGCACTGGGATTACAGGCATGCATGCAGCTGGTTTCAGTGGCCAACATGGCACACACAGCCGAGGTTCTGGGGCTGGCACAGCATGTGGTACCAGGGATCGAACCCGGGTCCTTGTGCTTGCCAGGCAGGCACTTAGACCCTGAGCTACCTCCCCAGCCCAAAGGATGTTCTTTCACACATGTATTTTGGTGACTGATGTATCTCCTGAGCATAAATTTCTGATGTTTGCTGGGTCATTTTGATATACATTTCAAAATTACCCTCCGTCAAGGGTAGACGCGTTCATGTGTCATTTAGTTCATGTCCCACCTATTTCCCTGTACCTCGACTCACTGTTTTCTCAACTTAGCTGACAAACAAAACCCAATCCCAATGCTTTCAGACTCATTCCTCTGAGCGCTGATTTGACAACCTTTTTATGTTTGCTGGGAATTTTAATTTCCTCATAGGTTGCACATTTGCTCTGCCTGCACTTGGGCTGTGTGTCTTCTCTTTGTTATTTTGTAAGAACTTGAGATGAAGTGGTATAGTAGAAATAGGAACAGCCTCAGGTGCTCCTCCAAGGGTTGTTAGCGTTCAGAGCCCGCTCCGCTCTCTGTAGCTACGTGGCCTCGCCCAAGCTGGTTTTGTGTCTGAGTTTCTCCACCCGGGAAGTGAGGATAGTTAACAGTGTCTACATCACAGCCTCATCCTTGTGAATGAGTCTTTTATTTAAATGGTATAGACAGTGCCAGGCGAACAGGGTGCACTTATACAAATCTTTATAATAGCCTTTTTAAAAATGATGTGTTGCAAGTAGTGTTTCTCAATTCATCATTTATAGTTCTTTATTGATTTAAGGCAGGGCCTTGCTGAGTATGCCAGAATGGCCTCAGGCTCACAGGGATTCTCCTGCCTCGGCCTCTGGTGTGCCCTCCTGCAACCCAAAATGCAGGAGCCTGCAGCAGGAGAGCCGTGAGTTCAAGGCCAGCCGACACGATATAGTGAGAACCTGTCTCAGAGAAACAGACAACAACAATAATGCTTATGCTGTTTTCTGTGGCCCAACAAAAGTGCTGTGTGACTATACAGGCAAAGCCATCAACTTCCTCCACTTTAATACCTGAGTCTACTGTCTTGCTGAGAAAGATCTCTTTTCAAACAAATAATACAACTCTTCATTTTGAAGTTGCATAAAAGCAAACTCAAGATATAATAGACATAAAAAAACTTAGGGATTCTTTTTTTTTCTTTTGTGATGGCTCAGGCTGCCTGAAGGGCAGGTCTGGTAAGGCAGGTGGAGCTGGGGGTTGAACCGTGGTATCCTGCTCCTGACTGCTTTTGCATGAGCAGGCATTTAGCAACTGAGCTAAGGGCAGGCCCCCCAAAACCTAGGGATTCTTTGAGCAGTGCAGGGGTAGGGTGGACTTCCTGTGAGGCCCCTTTTAGGCGCTCAGATATCGCCAAGGACCAGAAGGCCTTCTCTGTTCTGGATTCCACAGTTGGCTTCACCCTCCAGTGATGTCCAAGGCCCAGGGGCATGCTGAATGATGGGCTGATGGCTGCCCACTTCCCAGGCTCGAAAGGGGAGCTGTGGGGTTTTTTAGGACAATGTTCCATTATGTACTGTGGGTGGCCTTGAATTCACTATAGGTTGACCTCAAACTCATAATCCTCCTGCTTCAGTTCCTTGTTCTGGGATTATAGGCATGTACCAGCTCAGGTCGATTTCCTAAAGGAAAGCTGGAGTTGCTATCCCCGAGGGTGGGCTGTCAGATAAGGAATACGTGGGTCACCATCCTAACACCTCAGGACTTTCCAGTGGCAGCTCTATCTCAGTCTCTGTCTCTGTCTCTGTCTCTGTCTCTGTCTCTCTCTCCCTTCCCTCCTCCCCCCTTCCTTTCCTTCACCTGGGCAGCTGGAAATTATTTTGGTATAAGGAGTTTTTGAAACAAAACAAAAGAAAATAATTATCCAAGCTGAGAATGGTACAGGGCCCTGGTGGTCTGCGTCTGTGAGCCTAGCACTCTGGCAAAATTGAGGCAAGAGGATTGAAAGTTCAAGGCCAGCCTGGGCAACTCAGTGACTTAGAAAGATCCTGTATCAGAAAGTAAAAGAGGGCCAGAGAGATAACTCAGTAGCACAAAGGCCTGTCTGGCATTTGGCAAGCCCAAGGGCCTGAGTTCAATTCCCAGCACTCAAAAAAAAAAAAAAAGTAAAATGCTCACAGTACAAAGACCTGATGTTCAATCTCAAGTAATGAAAAAACAAACAAAAACCCAGAAACCTATAGAGGGACTCATACGTATAATCCCAGCGCTGGGGAGGCTGAGGTGGAAAAGCTGCAAGTTCTAGGCCAGCCTGGACTACACAGGGAGAACTTGTCTCTGAAAACTCGAGTGTCTAATTCTAATGCGTTCAGGGGCATCATGGAAAAATGCGCTTCCCTTTCTGATGGTGACTGTCCTCCCTGTAGAATAAACAACTAGAGGAAGTGAAGAGAGAAGAAAGAGAGCTACTGGAGGCTCGGTCGGCTCCCCTGAGAAACTACTTAATCACCCACGTGATGCCTACTCTGGTGCAAGGGCTCAATGAGTGCTGCAAAGTGCGGCCCGAAGACCCTGTTGATTTTCTGGTAAGAGATTTAAGTGTTTTAAACACCAATTTGAAAATAAAATATCCCTGAAATTTAGCAGAAAATTAGTTAAGACAGAGAAATAGCTCTGAATACATCTACAGTCTACAAGATTTCCCCTCCTCCATTTTCTCTTCCTCTTCCTCTCACTTTTTCTCTCTCACATATTCTGATATAGTGTGTGTGACTTTTATTATTCATTTGGAAGCATAATTTGGTTTTGGTTTTTTGTTTGTTTGGTCTCGCAGTGTAGTTCAGGCTGGCCTTGAACCCACTATGTAGCGAGGCTAGCCTCCAACTAGCAGCAATCTTCCTGCCTCGGTCTCCTGAGTGCTGGGATTACAGGCCTGCACAATCACACCTAGCTATTTATATGTTTTAATTATTTTTTTAAAATGTGGTGTG